ATTTTTAATTTTTATGCATATTTTACCATTTTTCTAAAATACAGTGTATCAAGTCTTAATCTGATTTCAAACATTTATATTTATATTAAAAATGAAGATAAAAGGGTGAAATAAAGTAAAATAGATTCTAAAAATGGTCAAATTTTACTTACTTTGGTTACAAATGTTCAATATGACCCTAACTGGCCRCCCCTATATACATCTATGCAGTAATCAAATTYTTCCCAAACGTTGCTGATCATATCTGGTGTCACGGCATTAACAGCATTTTTGATTCTGACTTTGAGCTCTCCCAAGTAATGGTGGTACATACACTTTCTCTTTTACGTAGCCCTATAAAAAAATCSCACACTGTGAGGTCAGGGGAACATGGTAGCCAGGTATGTATCRCCAAATCCTTGTTTTTTACGCCCAATTCATCGCCACCGCTGAGGGAGTTCCCCGTTCAAATATCTAATTTCCAGTACGGCGGTGCTCCATCTTGTTGAAAAATAAACTCACCAGTATCTGCTTGTAACTGTGAAAACAACCATGTTTCCAACATGATTAGAAATGTGTTACCCATTAAAGTGTTTTTTTCTTAAAAAAAAAAAAAATAGACCATAAACATTTTTCCTGGAAATTACGCAAAAAACATTGATTTTTAGTGAATCCCTTTGATGCTCAACAGTTGCGTGTGGTTGCTCTATAGCCCAAATCCTGACATTATGGTGGTTAACCTTTCCACTTAGATGAAATGTGGCTTCGTCCAAAAAAACAATGCATAAGACAAATGACTCATCTTCTTGTTTTTGGATATGAAATTGCAAAAATTAATCCTTTTTTGTTTGTCATCGGGTTGGAGGGCTTGTAACAGTTGTATTCGGTATGCCTTTAATGTCAAATGACATTGTAAATGTGGAAGATCTATCTCTAGGTTTGGAGGATGTGTAGATTTCTATGGTCTGCGAATGAAACTTTGTTGAACACACTTGATATTTTTGTCAGAGGTACGAGGTACCTACTAGCACGTTAAATGCTTAGAGCAGTTGGAGCTTCAGTTCCATAAGTTCTTCAAAAATCACGTTTAAAGGTTATTRCCGACTCGCACTTAATGAAACGTAGGACACAAAACGCTTTCTGTTGCAGAGTAGCCATAACAAAACAATTTAACCTTTCCATTAATACATTGGGCATTAACCGTTGCCGATCTATATCAGTTTGTAATTGGATGATGACTTTTGAAACACCTTATAATATAATAKATATTTATGAAAAAAATAGTATTAAGTTATTAATACCAATATTTAATGATATGTCCTATGTGAAGCCTGCGAATGTTAAAAAAAAAACTTTACTAAAAATCGATGTGCATATTTATCCAAATCTTTAGTAGTTAACTGTAAGTCTGTAATTCTCCTGGTAACTTTGAAATATTGTATTATAAAAATATACTAAATTTGTTTTAATTGATTTTTATTCATGAATTTTTATTTGGGTGATTGAATGTTCAAAATGCAACATACAATTGAATACATCATACAAAATACAATTAAATTATATCAATAAGCCAATTAATATATTTATTTGTTCCATATTAATTATTTAATGAATTATATATATATATATATATATATATATATATATTGTTAAACTAAATCAATTTAATTAATATGCATTTTTGTTCACATATATGAATTTTTGAATGAAAATCAGTGCATATTTTGTACATTTTTAATACATATAACTCCTGGCCCTAATTATAATCATACGATTAAAAATGCTTTGCGGTTAGGCGGGCATGTACACTTCATTGATTTTTTCAAAATTATTAACTATTTACACATGCATATTATTATAGTATACAATAAAACGTTTTTAATTCAATAGTATTAAACAAAATTGTACTTTTGAAAATGCTCAAATTGAAAAATTTTTCGTTCCAGTACACATTTTTATGTATCCCCCAAATTTTGTGATAGATTTTTGAAATTTTTTCTATGTATTAATTTTTATTATTTTTTTTTTATGATGTACCACTTCAAAGGTCTGTAATAAATGAAATAAAAGTGAGACTTTTCTCTTAGCCTGTGCAATTATAAAAAGACCCTAAGCATTAAAATCTGTTCTCCAGTTTAAGTAAAACATAGCTAAAATTAATTTTGGTTTAACAGTTAAAAATTAATTATTATTCTTTTTAATTTTTAAATTTCATATTTTAAATCTAATTGATAGGACCTTTTTAGTGTGTCACCAACAAACTTTTTAGTTGTCATAGTTTTAAGAGAAAATATGATACAAGTTTTCAGACCGCTTTTTTTTTTTTGGATTCGAGATTCGAATCATTATTCAGCTTGGGAATAATATTGGTTGTATCTCATTAATGTATCCTACATTAAAGGTAACTTAATTACCCACCTAATCATTATGACTGAGTTGCATTATGTGTTGTTATTCCATTGTCTGGCTTTTAGATCATTAATCGTATTGAGTATAAATAAATACAATTATATTGGTAAAAATTAAATATTTCTTACCAAAACATAAATGTTTAACAAAAATGTTCATAGAAATAATTTGTGTTTACATGTAAATTACATGTTGAATGGTGTTAATTTTAATTTAATTCAATTTCAATAAAGCAACTATAGTATCTGATTATTTAAATATTATTAACATTGTTATTTAATTAACTAGCTTTAACAACATTTATTAAATTATGGGTATCATTTTTAGGAAAAAGATTATCCAGATTTAATATACCCCGTGATATTGTAAGTTTGAACAATAGTGTTCTAGTCGAATGCCCCGACTATTCTGGTTCATTACTACCAGATACATTAAAAGAATCTTGCAATGAAGTAAGTTTCTTATGTTTATCCTTACAGTTTTAAAAGTGTAATTTATTTAACAATTTGTAATATAAGTTTGATGAAATAGACATTTTTATTAAAAAAAAAAAAAAATAATGATGTGAAAATATTGATTACTAGTTAATATTTAAAATACCAGTTGGGTTTTCGCTAATGTATGAAATTTATATGGTTAGGTAAATAATCTGGACTGGATTAGAAAAATCCCTTCGTTGTATAGAATTACAATTCTTARTTTATGTGAATTAAATTGTAAATAAAAATGTATAGTATTATTTTAAAAAATAAAATAGAAATTTAGAATTTTGTTTCCTGAAAATAGTTGTTTACATTATGTTATTTCATAATGTGTAACAATAAAATGGAATAATAATTTGATTACATCACAGATTCAGAATGAAACAGTGAAAAAATAAATATTCAAATTTAATATTATTTTTAAATTATACCATAACGCAAATATAATTGATATAATATTTATAGGGTTATGAGTGATAAAGTGTACCTTATTTCTTGGGACACACTGTATAGATAGATTCYATAATAATTTTAAATACAYTAACTGAAAGTACTGTTCCTAATTCTATAGAATAACTATTAACTAGTTATTTTATAGAATTACTGAATTTCATACATTAACATTAACATATATGTATTACCTAGCAACAAATAGTTATTGTTATTTATTATATTACATTATATTATTCTTTCTGAACATTATTTTTGTAAATCAAAAATGATTTAAAAATGAAATAACCAAATAAGAATATTTTTATTTGGGCACTGATTATTTAAAAAAATCTTACTTAATGAACAACATTCATGGACTGAGATTTTAAAAAACATTAAAAATTGTTTTCATAAAATTTTAATTTAAAAAAATTGGTTAGCCAATAATGAAAAAAAATAATAATAACCAATAAGTTATAATCCATTTTTATATTTCATTTTTGGTAAAATTCAAAAATGATGATAATAATATGACAAATAAAACACCTATGTAATGTTAATAGTAATTGTAATGTAATTATTATTATTTAATTAAATAAATTATTGCATGAGATTTTGAAAAAATAAATATAGGTTTTGTGAAAATTAATCATTTATTTGTTATTTAGAAAAAAAAAATTATATGGAACCTCTACTTTTATGTTTATTATTATGAGTGAATAAGTCAATCATAAAATACATAGATTAAATTGGATTTGTATGGGTTTTAATTTAAATTATAAATATATAGGATACAAGACTCTATAGCTCAAATGTATTCCTAAAGATGGAAACAATTTCAACTTATTTGAAACATGTTTTTTAATCTAAATAATTGTATCAAAGAATTAATATACATATATATAATAGCAATTTTGCCATTAAAATAATATAATTTCACATTATTGTATGATAATATATCTTGTTTTATATTATTATACATTTTATGTATAATCTATAAAAATCATAGGTCATTATATGTAAATTATTTTCCCTGAGCATTAGACATTTGAGAACCTTTTTTTTTATCTTTAAATAATATTTTTCGTTCWTTAACGTGGCTCTCTTGTATATTCTTGCTAGTATTACTACTATATGCTTCAATAAAAAAAAATATACATTTCTGCATAAGAAAATGTATACAAATTATAAAATATAATTAAACATTTTTAGGTTTTAATAATAAATAGAAAATATACATTCATTAAATTTGTCAATATATGTCTCAATTTAATTTAAAGTATTTAAATGTATTTTTAATCATTAATAAAAGTTACTTTACCAAAATTGATTCATGGAAAATGGTTAATTATTTATCATACATATAACATGTGTTCACCAATTTAGGGAATATGGAATTTCTCGGTCAGATTATATTGGAATAAATTGAATTTTTTTTACAAGCTAGTAGTATATAAATTTCAAATTTTTAACAGTCTTGGTACRCGCYTGCTCAATGCAACTTATTATTTTTTTTAATAGCAACCGGTATTTTTAATACCAAATTCGGATAGACTGAATCTTTTTAAGTCATTTTTACAACTCAACCATAGCTCTAAAACCAAAATTGACTGAATGAGAACCATTCAAATTTTAATAAATAATATGCATAAAACCATTTATAATTATTTATTTATTGGTTACTTTTTGAATATTTTTACGTATTTTTTTGTTTATACTTGTTATAAATAAGATAAACATAATATCGATATAAAATTATTTAATTAAAATTTATTCCAACATATCCGGCCGAGAAATTCAGTGTTCCCTAAATTGGTGAACACGCGGTATAGATACAGGGTGTCCCACAGAAATTTGACAAATGAAATAACTTTTGTTCTAATCAAATATTTAAAAAATTTCTTTTAAATATAATTCATAGACACTTG